ACTAGTCACCGGAGATGCACCGTTACTCGTTATGCTTTCTTGGTCAATGTTATTAGCGATTTCCAAATCTTCATCAATTTTCTCGAACTACATTAGCACAAGGATAAACTCTAAAATGTTAATTAAACTGCAACTTGAAAATTGAGGAGCGAGATAGAGGGTAATGCAAGGATACCTGTTTACGTCTCTTTCGATGTCTCCTCCGTTTCAAACGAATTTGAAGCTTCCGATCAACATTTACATCATCTTCTTCTTTGACCTTTCAATGAAAAAGTACAGAAATACTATCAACTTCAGTAAAACTCAACTGGGTGTTAAAAAGAACATGTGTCTATGTTAAGTCTAATCGCAACATAGGATTAATTATCAACTGGTGAAAAAAGTAAATAAACATATTGACATATTCATATACAGAAAAGGTGAATCAAGTTTGTAACCAACATTGTACCAAAAAGACAAGTTTGCAAGAGACAAGAAGATGACCATCAGATAATACGCAGAAAGACATCCAATCAAATACCAGTAATGATAATGTTAGGTGCAACAAGACCACATAATACTCATTCAAAAATTGCACGAATATAGGGAGACTGAAAACCAACAGAGGGTTTATTAGAGGATTTCTATATGAATGTCTACAACCCCAGACAGTAGTGAAAACACTTTCGACATCTCCCAACTAATATCAATTACAACGTAACAGTCCCTTCCATGTTAATTTGTTTTTTTATATAAGAAACCAAGTTTTACTTTATAACAAAAGTTACATACAAAATGAAAACAAAATAAGTAAATGTAGTAAAATAAATTTGTGTGTGACATGAAAATATATTCAAATATGATGTTGGGACAACACAACCATACCTTCCTATAATTTTTCTTTTGTTCTTCAGTGAGATCCAGTTCTCTTTCGTTCGCAACAGCGTCTGCAACAAATGGATCACCAAAATTGCCATCAATGTCATCAATCTCCTCTACCTCATCAACCCCAGGGAACTTGAGTCCCATCTCAGCAGCTTGCTGTGGCGTACTGGCCAAATAAACAGAAGCCCAGTGCTTACTGCCAAACGAGGCACCACCCACAGTTGCACCATCAGAAAATAATTTGTTAAAAGAACCCCAGTAATCAACCTCAGCTGTCTCAACATCCTTGCTTCCATCTACAACTAGTTTTTTCTGCAGAAATCCACTAGCACCATCCTCCAATAGTTTACCATGTCGCCTAAGTCCACCAAGCAGAATCATGTACCATCAACTTCATAACTTGCAGAATCATTAGTGCTAAAAGGAAAGAACTGTACCTTCTCACAGGTCTGTGGGTTTGCAGATACTTCTCTGCATCAGCCCTTGACTCGGTAAATTCTCCAGTCTCTTGAGATCCTACCCAGTGTATCCGTCTTTTCCAAGCTTCAGTGCAGCAACCATTAGGAGCCTGACTTTCAATGCATTTATAAAGGCTTGGTAGCTCAATGCCGGCCCCATCAAGTTGTTCCTATTTACATAAGCATATAATGATAGAGGCCAGAAATTAAAAATACATTTCACTTGTTTATATATAATTATATTACCAAAACTGCAAAAGAATTATAGAAAGAATGTGGTTACGATCCCTTGGACACCCGAATAAGTCAAAAGGCAATCTATTTTATTGTCTTCTAATAAAAATAAAACAAATAAAGGCATTGTATGGAAGGTCCACAACACAAGATGACAGGTGTGCTAATCCCAATCATCTAATTATTTGGAGTTCTCATCAATATAAATGCAGCACTCAGAACCAAATGAGGGGTGATTAGCTAAATTCATATCCATCTTGTAGAAGTCACAAGAAGAGGCAAATCTTTCTCTCTACTGATTTATATTTTCAGCAGAAATTTATCGCATCAAAATACATGCGAGCTCTAAACAATGCATTAGAAGCCAAAGATTTACTCAGATTGAAGAAAGAAGCAGACCAACAAATGAGCACTCTCAGTCTCAAGTTCATCAAGCTCAGCTTGCCACTCTTCTATCAAAGTATCCATTTCATCCGCAACTGCTGCTTCCAACTATAGACAAGAAAAAAATGCATAAGTGATTGAAAAGGACAATGTAATCCAGAAGGAGGAATTTGGAGGAAGAAACTAACATCGTCTCCATGAAGGGTTTGGGCCAACTCCTCTCTTACTTCACTCTCCACTTTGGCAAGAGACTCTTTCTCAAGTGCCTCTTGAGCCTCTGCAGCCTAAATTGAGCGTCAAAGAAAAAACCAACAAATTAAGCATCACGTGCATAAAACACATATAAACGTATGTGTATTTGTCTGTATGCATAGTTGGAATCAACGTTAATCAGTAAGGAAAAAATAGATACCTTACTCTCAACCTCCAAAAATTCAGCAATAAGCTCCTCTATTTCTTTATCAGATAATGGTTCCTGCATACAAAGATCAAATCATCATATTTTTGAAAATCAAAAAGAGGGTTTCTCCCAAATATTAGACAATAGCACTAGAATGCGACAACAATGTCTAATGGGTTCGTAGCTTCATTGAGAAAATATATTACGGCAAAGAAAAAACTATCATAAGTGAGGACTTGCCTCTGGCTGCAATTTTCCATCTTCGCCGGATATCGGTACTTCATCAACTTCTGAGTCATCTATGAAAGAATCACTATCACTGCCACTAGAAGCACTCCCAATATTTTCCACTTGCTCGGCGTTTTCCTCCATTTGCTCCCCCACTTCCTCGTGGCTTTCCTCCATTAACTACTCAACCAGACCAAGCCTCAAAACAAGTACCTAAGAAGGCCAAAACAATGAACAAAACAGATCACTTTTTGTAACGCCGAGTTGCTCTCACCTAAAACCTTCCTACTCTCCGATAAGCGAAATTAGGAACAAAACCCAAATGATAACATCACCACCGTAATCAGTCTAATAAGTTGAGTGTTAAGACTAAAGCAACTCCAGTCCAACTCCTCAAATGGTAAATACATAATCTCCAACAGTCAAGGCAAAAATGGCATAGGAGTTCACACGAAAACTTCATCCGTTACGATATCATTGAATCCATTTACTTTTATGGATATAATAATCAAAGCTTCCGAAACCATTTTTTGATTCAACAAAGTGAAACCCACATTCCAAGTTACATAAAAACCAAAACTTTTGATATGGGGAAACAGAAAGATCAAATCTTATATCGTCCCCAAATAACCAAACGAGCAAAAGATCAATATTTCGCGCCGTTTCCATAAAAACCAAGCCACTCTCAGTACTTGGTATTTCCCATTTTCCACCGAACCGGTGTCATTTCACAGCACCCAACAAAAAGAAGAAGAAGAAGAAGAAGAAGAAGAAGAGGGAAGAAGGGAACCTGAAACCACTTACCGGAAAAGGGAAGGCCCACGTAACTACGGTGACGCGAGAAAATGCAGAGCCTTCGTATTCTCTCTCTCACTCTCTTTCTCTCTCCTGCGTGTGCAGAGCAGAATACGCCCCGCGTAGTATGTACTCTGTGTGATGTTTGAATTTGTTTGAATCGAATTGAATGGGGAGGAAAGAAATGGTTGATTTCCCCAAAAAACCGAAAAAAATTGGAAGAAGTCGGATGGGTTGGCAGCCTTGTTGGCTACATACACACGCACACTCGCAATTGTTTTTCTTTTCGGTCACCCAAATTGTGTGTAATTTCTAGATCTAGGGTTTTTGGTTTTGTGTTATTTTACGAATGGTTGGTGTATATTTATTTAGAAGGCCATCACGTCACATTGGGAAAGTGAGGGTTATTTGGTTAATTTGTAATGGTATTGGTGAATTTGAAAAAATTTAAGTCTAGCCACTCCCAACGTTTTTATATAATTTGCGAAAAACGCATACTATTATCGCACTTACGATATAACAAGAATTTACGAAGCTTGTAAAATAGAATTCGCCGCAATTTCTTTTTTTTAGATACAATATGCACTAAAATAAAATCATATTTTGGAGATATATTTCAAAATTTACTCTATTGAGTAAGATTTTTATTTTTTCGTAGTTTAGATATTAGGAAAGTGAGAATTATTTGGTTAATTTGTAATGGCATTTGTAAATTTTAAAATATTTAACGTTGTCACTGTCGAGATTTTTAATAAAATGCATACTATTCTTGCACTTATGATAAAACAAGAATTTACAAAGCTTATGAAATAGAATTTGTTGCAAATTTTTTTTCTAGATAAAGATTGCGCTGAAATAAAACTATCTCTTAGGGATATATTCCAAAATTTACTCTATTGAGTAAGATTTTTATTGTTTTCATTGTTTGAAACTCAAACTACGATTGGTTTAATGCTTAGAGCAGAAAATTTTATTGTGTAACGGAACACCATTATTTAATAAATAAATAAATAAAACTTTGATATTACATTTCAATGATTTATTTTCCAAATGCTCCAATATTCTTTTAGTATTCAAGATGAATCAATAATCGTAAATACTTTGTTGCTTTTAATATACAAATATTTCTCTTTTCGATATTCAAAGAGGTCCTAAATTTGAGTCTTTCTAAATAAACACAAACGTTAAATACAAATCACACATACACTATTTTGTTCACTGACTGAAAAAGTTCGCAGTACATTTGCAATGAAGCCATCGTCGAAGTGAAATAATGGAAGTATATTTTTTGCTCAAAAAAACCCAAACAAAACAAAAGCTAAAAATAGAAACTAACTGGACCAATTGAAGTGACCTGGCCCAAATCGGGCGGGCTTTACACCTGCAAATCTGCAACATGTCCCCACATGTTTTTATGAAATAATATCTTTTTTGACAAATTAATTTAGAACTCTGTATGATAAATTGATTCAGTATTTTTAAATAACTCAAAATGTTTTTAAATAAAATGTTTTTGGAATAAATTCTTAATAAAATTATTAGTTCATTCTGAAAAAACTCTAAAAACGCTTCCAAGCATTTCCTCTTAAAGCGCTTCCAAACATTTAAAAGCTCTCGCGGACGAACTCTTAATTAATTTAGTCATCTTCTTTCTTTGACCACGACTTGACAAACAAGAAAAAAATGAAGGCCAAACACAAAGCAGCTGCTCCTCCCACAACGATTGCCACCGATTCATTTCCCCCATTTCCTCCATCTCCGTCTCTATGTTTTTCTGCTAATAAAAACAATTGATTGAAAGATTAAATTAATGATTAATCATTCACGATGCACGCTCATTTAAAAAAAAAAAAAAAAAATATATATATATATATATATCAAGAATGTTACTGTAACTATAAGTTAATCATGCATTGTTATATAAAAAAGATAGAAATGCATGAAATTCAACGTCATTGGTTCCAAATATCGCCCATAGGTTTATAGAAAGTGAATTTCTTTCTTTCATTCAATACACCAGATAATTACACAAAGTTTGATATATATATTGTGGGCATTCTAACAGATTACACTTATGCCCTTAACCAAACTAACAATTTACAAAACAACTAAAACAAACTATAAGCAATTCTTATCAACACTTTGATGACTCTTTACACCCCCTCAAGCTGAACTTGGAAGCATCAAAAGAACCAAGAGAAAGCTTGGATTGAAGATAGAGGAATCGTTGCCGAGACAGAGACTTAGTATGAATGTCGGCCAATTGGTCTTGACTACAAACATATTGAACCTTGATAAGATGGGCAAGAACCAGCTCACGGATGTAATGATAGTCAATTTCAACGTGTTTAGTCCGGGCATGAAAAACAGGATTAGAAGCTAAAGATATTGCAGAGATATTATCACACCAGAGATGAGGAATCTGAGGTAGGTGAAAACCAATATCTCGGAAAACTTTACAGATCCATGTTATTTCAGCCGAAGTGTGAGCCAAAGACCTGTACTCAGTTTCAGTAGAGGATCGGGCAACCGTTGGCTGTTTCTTGGCACTCCAACTAATCAAATTAGAACCAAGGAAGATGCAATAGCCACTGGTGGACCTTCTGTCAAAGGTGCACCTTGCCCAATCAGCATCAGAGTATGCTGTAAGGTGCAGATTTTCGGGTTTGAACCATAAGCCATGGGTGAGAGTACCTTTTAAAAATCTGAGAATTCTTTTAGCAGCTTGAAGATGGGAATCCCTCGGAGCATGCATGAATTGACATACTTGATTCACAGCAAAAGATATATCTGGCCGAGTCCAGGTAAGATATTGCAATGCACCAACTAAGGATCGATACTCTGTGGGATTAGACAAGAGAGAACCGGTATGATCAAGTTTGGCCGTGCCTAAGGGAGTTGAACATGGTTTAGCGCCATCCATTTTAGTCTTCTGAAGAAGGTCAAGTAAATATTTGCCTTGGTGTAAGAATATGCCTTCAGAAGACTTGTGCACCTCAAGTCCCAAAAAATAATGCAATGAGCCTAGATCTTTGACAGGAAAAACAGTGCTCAGTTTGTTGATAAAATGCTGACATAGTGTAGCATTAGGACCAGTTACCAAAATGTCATCAACATATACAAGGATGATCACCAAGGTTGGAGCTCGTAAGACAAACAAAGAGGCATCAGAAGAAGACTGCTGAAAACCAAAAGATCTCAACACCTGAAATAATTTGTCAAACCAAGCCCTTGGAGCCTGTTTAAGACCATAAAGGGACTTTTTAAGCTTGCAGACATGATGTGGAAAAGAGGGATCAGTAAAGCCAGGAGGCTGCTGCATAAAAACATCTTCTTGTAAATCCCCATGCAAGAAGGCATTACTAATGTCTAACTGATTTAAAAACCAGTGAAACTGAGTAGCAAAAGACAATAGGATACGAATGGTAATAGGCTTGGCTACAGGACTGAAAGTTTCTTTATAATCGATGCCTGCTTGTTGGTGAAAACCTTTGGCAACAAGGCGAGCCTTATAGCGATCAATAGAACCATCAGGATGTTTCTTAATCCGAAAGACCCATTTACAACCAACAACATTGTGAAGAGGAGAAGAGGGTACAAGAACCCATGTCCCTGTAGAGTGCAATGCATTAAACTTCTCTTGCATAGCAGTTCTCCAGTGAGCATGCTTGGAAGCTTGCAAATAAGTAGATGGGACAAAATCAATAGAAGATGGAAGAGGATGCTTGGTTGCCGAGAAGGCCTTGGGTTTGAATATCCCTGCTTTTGACCGAGTAAGCATAGGATGAGTATTGTGCACAGTAGAAGAGACAGAAGGAATCGAGATGGAAAGACCAATGGAATCAACAGTAGGATCATGTGAGTCAATAGTGGCAGCCAGTAGATCATGTGAAGTAACAGGATCAGCATGTGAAGCAACAGAATCAGCATGTGAAGCAACATGAGCAGCATGTGAGTCAATAGGGGCAGTATGAGCAGTGGGGGCAGTAGGAGCATGTGAGGCAATAGGGACAGTAGGTGGGACAGTAAGGGAGGCACTAGTAGTGCAGGATCGGGAAGAATGAGGGACAGTGAACTGCAAATCAACTGAAGACACAACTAGAGATGCAGTATTAAATCGGGAAGCACTCAGGGACAATGGGTGAGAGTGATGAAATGGGAATGTAGATTCATAAAAAATAACATGATGAGATATATAGACCCTCTGTGTCAATGGATCCAAGCACCGATATCCCTTATGTTGAAGACTATACCCCAAGAACACGCAATATTTACTTTTGCTGTCCAGTTTGGAAGTTGTATAAGGCTTAAGCCATGGAAAACAGCTGCAACCAAAGACCTTCAGCCGACAATAATCAGGGAAAGTATGAAATAATAATTCCCATGGAGACTGCATCATGCCAGAAATTGGAAGTCGATTAATCAAGTATATAGCAGTGGAAAAGGCCTCTACCCAGAAAACATGAGGCACATTAGAAGCAACCAAAAGTGTGCGAGCAGTCTCGACCAGATGATGATGTTTTCTTTCTGCACAACCATTCTATTCAGGTGTATGCGGACAACTGAATTGATGTATAATACCATGAGTTTTGAAAAAATTCTGTAGTGCAGTGCTAGTAAATTCACCCCCTGAATCTGAACGAAACACTTTGATTTTATTGCCAAGAAGGTTTTCTACATAACTCTTGAACTGAACCAATACAGAATACACTGCAGATTTGGATTGTAAAGGAAAGAACCAACTATATTTACTATAGTCATCTACAATCAACAGATAGTATCTAGATCCACTCACTGACATAACAGGAGCTGGACCCCAGAGATCACAATGTAAAAGGTCTAAACAAGAAGAAGAAGTAGAACTAACAGAACTGAACGGCTGCTTGTGACTTTTTGCAAGAGCACAGTGAGAACAAAAGAAATCCACTGAAGTCTTTCCTGTGAGAGCAAGCTTATTTGTTGAGAGAACACGCCTGAATATTGATGAAGAAGGATGACCAAGTCGACTGTGCCAAACTGAAATCGGTGCTTTGACACTTATTAAGGCAGTAGGTGAAGTAGTAGAACGATGAGATGACTGAGATGTACATTGCAGGGGATAAAAACCATCTTTAACCGGTCCCCGCAAAAGCGTCTTCCCCGTAGAACGATCCTTTACAAAGGATCCATCAGAATTAAGAGTCAAAGAACAGTAATTATCTTTGAGAAATTGATATGCAGATAGTAAATTGTGCTGCATTTGTGGTACATGAAGAACATTTTGTAGTTTAAATGTAGCAGATGGAGTATGTAAAAAAGAAGAACCAACGTTGGTAATTGGCAAACCTTTACCATCACCAATGTAGACCTTGTCTTCACCACGGTAAGGAGTAGGAGATGAAATGTTAGAGATGTCATTTGTAATGTGAGAAGTTGCACCCGAATCAATAAGCCAAGAATGAGTGGGCTTTGATGAAAAGTGTGCACACATAGCAGCAAGTTTAGCGGGAGGAACTTTGCCAAATATATCAGGGTTCATTCGATCAAAACAGTCAATAGCCTCATGACTTTTTGATCCACAGATTTGACACTGGATACCACGAGAGCCTTGAGAGTTGCCACGAAAGCCTTGATAGTTGCCACGAAAATTGGTACCTTTATAATTGCCACGATGTCCACGCGCATTGCCTCTATAGTTTCCACGATGACTGCCACGGTAATTGCCGCGAGAAGACTGAGGTTGAACAGCAAAAGCTTGGTGCGGTGGCGGTGTAGGCAAAAGAGGAGGCAGCGAGTGAGCAGCAAAGGCATGGAAAGGCTCTGTGGTGTTAGAGGAAGCAGTTTTCTTCCTTCTAGTCATTGATAATTCCTTGGTGAGCAGTAAGCCATGCAATTCATCCAGAGTTGTATGGGAAAGACGAAGAAGAAGGGAATCAGTAAAAGATTCAAACTCATCAGGTAAGTCAGCCAGTGTAGCCGCAATTAGGTCACGATCTGTGACAGGAGCACCAGCCGCCATCAAGGCATCAGAGATTTCCTTGATTTGTTGAAGATAATCAGAAATTGACTGTGAACCTTTCTGAATGGATTGGAAACGAGATCGTAACTGATGAATGTGAGCATCAGAGACTCCTCCAAAGCGCTGCTCAAGCTTGATCCATAGATCCCGAGACGACGAGACACCAACAGTGAAAGGAATCACTTCTTCAGACAGAGTAGAATTCAACCAGATGAGAAGGTTCTGATCTTTCTCATTCCAAATGTCAAAGTCGGGATTGATAGAGCGATCAGAAAGAAGAGGTGATGGACAGACCTCAATACCATCAATGATGCCAAGGAGCTTATACCTGCGCAGAATTGGAGCAAATAATGCACGCCAGGGGAGATAATTGGAGCGTTTGAGTTTAATTGGCACCATACTTCCAATGTTTTGGATCGTCAGAGAAGCATATGAAGACGAATACATGGCAGAATTTGACGAATTAGGGTTTGGAGCTTGCACCGACTCAAAAGGAGAAGACGAATTTGACGGAGTCGCCATGGCTGATTGCAGCGAGAAAGACACCAAACAACAAGATCGAAGCAACAATCGAAGAAGAACAATGAAGAATCACAGCAAAATTCAGAGAGAAAGATCAGAAATTGGGAGCGAAAGCAAAGAGGATCGAGAGAAAGAAGGCCGTGAGGCGAGACGGTCGTGATACCATATAGAAAGTGAATATCTTTCTTTCATTCAATACACCAGATAATTACACAAAGTTTGATATATATATTGTGGGCATTCTAGCAGATTACACTTATGCCCTTAACCAAACTAACAATTTACAAAACAACTAAAACAAACTATAAGCAATTCTTATCAACACTTTGATGACTCTTTAAGGTTTACTCTGAATATTAAAAAGCAATTAAATATGAAAAATCATTCTCAGATTCAATCACCTGGATCATGTGGGTGCTCATCTGGTATCTCATCTGGATGATAACTATAGCTCAACAAGCACTCCTCCAAATAAATCTGCCCAGAAACAGCGCCACCACATTCCTCTTCTGCAATTTGCACCGCCCTACCCACACACTCTCCACACTCACATCCCCCCAAGCCCCCGGAACACTGCGCCATCACTTGCACCGCCTCATACCCCGTTTTGCAAAACCCACCACCGTCCGCAACGCCGCTCTCCAAGGCAGCAAACGCAGCGTCTCTCATCTCCTCGAACACCGCCGCCACCCCATTTGCGAAATCCTCCCCACAAGTCTTGTGCATTAATCTATCGTTAGAAGGCTCTGAGTCGATCCCATCGAGCTCGTAGTGCACGTAGCATCCATGCAGCTGAACACGAGCCGAAACTGATTCTTGACACAAGGTGTTCGATAAGTTATGGAGAGTGTTGACGCAGCTGTGACACTCTTCCTTGCTGAGGTCCTGCCGGCACTGGAACAGGCCGGAAATACCCGCCTCGTTGTTGTCTACGCCGGCTTCGGCATGCCTGTAGAACTTGGATTGGGAGGAGTGTGATGTTAGTTGTTGCAAAAGAGACGAAAGGGTTTGTTGTGGGACTTGCGATTTAGTTGGGGGAGTTGCAAATGTTCGATTTGCACATTTTGTGTATACCAAACTGTTGTAGTCGGAATTAGGGTTTGCAGATGATGTGAGAGAAAGTAGAGGTAGTAGTGATGCAAAACGGAGAAGAGTTGAATCCATTAGGCTTTGAAGATCATTAGGGTTTGAAGACAGTTCAATGAAATTGCATATTTTCAATATGTTGGCTTTCTTTTTCTGTTTTGGGATATGGGAAGTTGAGATTTAGGGCTTTTTTTTTTTCCTGCCCACTTCTATCTAACTACAGTGAAAACTTGTGAATTTCTTCACCAGAAAGGGTTACAAGCTTTTTAATTCAGCAGCAAAGAAAAACAAGTATAATTAGGTGTATTGTTACGGAATTAATCATGTAAGGTTTTGCGTATGTTGAACAAAGATTTGCTTTGATAATATAAACTATAAATTGAGAAATGCTAATGGAGACTCTCAAAAGTGGGATCTGCATAGATTATCTGTCACATCATGTTTTTTACACAATGTTTTATAATGTTGAGATTGGAATTAACATTAAACAATGAGGTGATAGAAAGTTCATGGAGAGACTCCACTTTTGAGAAAGTCCCATTAACATTTCTCATCTTTTATAATGTGAGCATAAGAATTGAAGTTAAGTTATGAGGTGGCAGATGGTCTATGTAGAGTCCCACTTTGGAGGGAGTACCCCATAGCATTCCCCTTATAAGTTATGTTGGGAATATTCCAAATAAGGCTGAATGACTTTTAAAGTGTCAATAACAGCTGTCGTATAATATGATTATGCAAAACAAGGAGCATGAATTAAAATAATGGTTAATATTTATTAATGTTCTCTGGCAAAAAATTACTAAATATAACAACATACAATCATTTAGTATTACTATATCACGTGTTATAATATAATTAAAATACAATAAAATAAACACACGTATTGTAAAACGAATGAAATTAGTAACATTAGTGCGACTATTGAAGTAATGTTGATTCATTGTGGTTGAGAGTGGTTAGTCAGTTTCCAAATAGTTATGTACTTTCAAGCACTTGTTATAACTATATGTATAAACTCAATTAACAAAGTTAATAATTATCATGGGTGGAAGGTATTAGAAGCTTCTAATTAACTTGTTAATTCGGAGGTGGTCAACGAAGAGAAAGCTGGCCCCGGCCTCATCGGACTTAAATTTGAAAGAAAAAAAAATTACGGGAAAAATATTGGAAAAGTTCATGTGGTTGAAACAAAATTGCATGGTTGGAAAGACCAATTGCAGTCACTGCGAGTACGAAAAGTAAAAAGTAAATAACAGATAAATAGTAACAATTATTAAGCACATTTTATTCTTAGCAAAAATAAAATAAATAATTACTCTGTTTTTATCCAGTTCGACGTGTCTGAATTTGTACAAATTTAGATTTGTTAAGAAAATTACGGTTGTAAAAACCATTCAAAGTGTAACAAACTTCCCTAACAAAACGCCTTCAATAAAAACCTCAAATCTCCACGAACCATTCCTCACTGCAGCACACACCCTCCCTTCCCTAGTAGATTATACGTTTCCGGCGGCCGGTAGCGAAGTCAGTTGGTTAATTAATCGGGTTCCGGCGGCCGGTAGCAACGTCGGTCGGTAAATTAGTCGGGTTGTCGTTGGCAGTCTGTACGATACGAGTGCGTATGTACATCCACACATACATATATTTGTTTGAATACAGGAGACAAATCCAGAAATCCAAACACCATCATTAACAAATTTACCTTGTTTTCTTTTTGTTAATTAATTGCCTGCAGGATTTACTTTATTTAATTACTGTGATTGCTGCGGCAATTAATTAACTAATTAAGTTTTCCAATTTAATTACAAATCATGCCACGGCCATTCAACTCCTCGTTCCAGCTGCTGGAGATCAACCTGATCTCGGCCCAGGAACTGACGCCGGCATCGAAGGCAATGCGGACGTTCGCCGTCGCGTGGGTCAATCCGCAGAGGAAGCTGACGACACGTGTCGACCAGAACGGCCACACCAATCCGACGTGGAACGAGAAGTTCGTCTTCCGAGTCGACGACGACTTCCTCCGTGACGACACCTCGAAGATCATGATCGAGATCTACGCCTCCGCGTGGCTCCGCGACGTCCTGATCGGAACCGCCGCGGTGGTGGTGAACAATTTGCAGAACAAGTCGAAAATGCGGTTCATGGCGATCCAGCTCCGCCGCCCCTCCGGCCGCCCGCAGGGGATTCTGAACATCGGGCTCGGCCTCCTCGATAGCACAATGCGGAGCATGCCGCTCTACAGCGAGCTCAGCTCCTCCGCTGTCGGGTACTGGGATCTGATGGAGGGGAAGACCGGCAACCACCAGAAGAGCAACGGCCCCAATTCGAAGGACCAAGACAAATTCATCATCTTCCAACGATCTCAGAGCGATCGGACGGGTAGCGATTACGGATTCTCGAAATCCAGGCCTGCATCCTCCATCTGCGACGGCGTCACAAAAAGCAGGCCCCCGAGCTCTATCTGCAACGCCGCCGCATACAAGCCCAAACATCAAGCGTCCTTCTGCAATAGCTCGATTGTGAACGGATCTGAGGTCAGCACCGTGCCAAAGAAGGGGAATGTGAACGGGTCCCTCTGTTCCGACGTCGGGCCCTCGCCATCTGTGGTTGCGGCTGCGATCGCCAAGGGAATCTACCCGCTGCCGTACACCGGGGCCCGCGCACCGCCGGCCAATGATGCCGGGAGCTCGTTGCTTGACGAATGGACGGACCAAGACAGCGTGGAAGGGTTAAAGACCAAGATCGAACGGTGGCGGACGGAGCTGCCGCCGGTGTACGACTGCGCCAAGAACGCTGCCAAGAGCTCCCAAAATCAGAAGCTACTCCAATCATCGCACCGCCGTCCCAGCAGTCAGAAGACACGGCGGAGACGCGGCAGTGGCCGGGGGTTATTCTCCTGCTTCGCATTGGGCTGCGAGATCTCGATCTCTTGCGGCGGCAAGCCGAAGAAGAAGAAGAGCGGGAAGGTCCACCTCGACGACGACTCGTACTTACAGTAGATGAACAGCCCAAAACGCCACCGTTTCCTTAATTTTTCTTGGGCGTGCGGCGGGGACGAGATAAAAAACGACACTGATTTTATTGACGTTGATGCTGCTGATCGCACGTTTGGCAAAGCAAAGCCGCGCGGAGGTAGATTTTACGCATAAGAATTTGTTAATAGCTTACGGGATTGGATGTCGTTTTTTACATTTGAAATTAAGATTTGTAATTATTTTGGAGTTGATGAATTGGATGAACGTTGGGTCGTTTGGGTGGAGAAAAAAATTGTTTGGTGCGTTTTATAATTAGAGAGGAATTGAGGGTGTTATTTAAAAGAAAAAAAAAACAAACGGTATAATTAGTGGCGGACCTCTAAAAGGGCACTACACTTGCTTTAAAAGGCAAAATTTGATTCTCCATTAAACTTGCTGATGTAGTTTTCGTATTAGTTTGGTGGCAAGCTCTTCGTTGATTTGCTTAGTGCCAAACAAGTACTTCGCTAATCTTCCAAATTCTTCCTAAACCCAAATTCGTTATCTTCTATTAATTCAGCTTCTCGATATTCGCTACTTCGTTTATATCTCTAATTTGCCAATGTGGTTTACTTCTGTTTTAATTGGGTTTTTTTTTGTTGTGAATACAATAATACATGTTTGCAATAAGAGTTGATGAATTTGGACTAAAATCATTAATTTAGTATTGAATTCGTCATCTACATGAATCGAATCCAAAAAATTTCACATACAAATTTAGAAGAATATACTAAACTTTAGTGCTAAGTAATAGCATTTACATGGTGGTGGGCCCCATAAATTTAAACAGACAAAGTAAAGAACACAAGCCAATGCCGAGGACTGGACGAGGAGAGATTTTTTAGTGACCGGAACACGGGGCGACACATCACGTGTCATTATATAAATAGTGGAATATATGTGTTAAAAAGTTAGGCCATCTCCAACCGAGGGCTAGCCAAAGGGCTCGTTTTAGCCCTCTAGCCCTCCAATAAATTAATATTTTAATGAACAGTACAAGACCATATTTGCTTCCATCTCCAACCGAGGGTCATATGGCTCGTTTTAGTCATGTCACAAAAAACCGTCTCCATCGAGGGTCAAAGGGCCAAACATTATTTATTATTTAAATTTAATGTTATTTAATGTTGTTTCATGTTACTTAATTTAATTTAATGTTGTATAATGGCATAGGAAGTTATAGGAAACAAATAGAATTTAAAAAAAATATATATATATATAAAATTCAAAAATAACGACTAGCTGACATCAGCTAGCCGTTATACTCAAAATTTTTCATATTTGTGTTAGTTATAACCAACACTACTTCTGTCAAATAGCCGTTTATTTCAAAATTTTCCATATTTGTGTTAGTTATAACCAACACTACTTCTGTCAAATAGCCGTTTATTTCAAATAACCGACACTATTTCCCTTATTTCTGTCGATTATAACCCTAAATTTTATAAAATCATATCAAATCCTAATTTGACTACACCCTCTTTATATATAATGGAAATACCGAGCCTAGAACCCTAAATATCCTCAAGCCCCCAACCCAAGTTACCCAACTTCCCCCAAAACTAAAAACTCGTTCAATCTCCATCTCTCTCTGAGAAATGTGTATCTGAGTGGAAGCAGTTGCACAAAGAAGAGAAATGGCAGAGGCAATTGCTTAGAGACGGAGAATCAAGTGATGACGAAAATGTGCCCGGGGAAGAACAGGTGGTGTCGCGCGGTGTACAGGAGAGTTTTCGTTTGACTCGTGAGGAGCGAGAGCAGAGGCTGGAGATGATTATAAAAGAAAGACATGTGCTTCGACCCACATGTGGATAATTCATGTGCTCATACAGGATCCATGTCGAGAGGGCTGTAATCAGTGTTTGCGGGGGAGATATTCTAGTCTTTGTTATTGTGTCTGAGTTTCATTTCAGCAGCAGTGAATATGTTCAATGTAAATATATGTCAGTCATGTCTATGTTGGAATATGCTAGCTAGCCCCGTTGTTGTCGTCGTGGTCGTTTTCTCGTGTCGTGTGTGTTTAATTCGGGTTTGGTTTGCTCTTTGGACTGCTTGTCTGGGAATGGCTATTAATTACTATTAGCTAGCAGCAGCGCCTGCTGTTGTTGTTGGGATTTTGTGCGACAAGGGCCTTGGGAATTCCTGATGCAGACATTCAGGTGGAATATTTAGACTGGTTTGAGTTGATTATATATGGTTATGTTTAATCTCAACCCTAAACCCTACAACTTCTTAGAGCATTGGATTTTGTTGCATGATTAGGGTAGCTTAGTGTAGTTGGATAGCTTTCACTTTGAGGAGATCGCGTAGGGTTGGGTAAGATCAATACACGGGGTCTCAATCTTTTTGTGAGAGGTGTCTTATGTATAAAGTGGTCTACTGATCTCTACACAAATCAAGGAGAGAGACCTGAACAACCATTAGATAAAGCGATGAACCTGCGGTAGTCCGGGTTAATAATGTAGCTAATCATCGACATGAGTATACCCCTCATCACGTGAACGTGGTCTGTTCTCATGAGAGAGGAGACGGACGAATCCGGTTGTATAGTAGAATCTCCTCGTTTAGGCATATGACCAAAAAAAACTTACGTTACTGTTTTAAGCGTAGGAAAAATTAGAGGCTTTTACTGAATTGGAAGTTGGAACAATTGAGAAATCTAGGAGTTCTTCATCCAACTCAACTCCTTGAAGTATCATTATTTAAGTCTCTTTCTGTTACCACTTATCAATCTATCAAAATTAGGCCAAAAGAAAACTCAAAAGCTAATACAAAACACAATCAGCAGCTCATTAAGTTACGTTTGCTCCTCCTCATCCCATCTTACTAACAGCACCCTTCTGCAACTTCGAACAGTACTCGAACAAGCTTCCATCAAAACAACGCCTCACGGCTTCCTTTGCCAAGTAGCCGTATTCATCTTTTGCAAGAACATACAGAACTCCCCATTCCAGTTTACTTGCAATCCTGCAAACAGTAACGGAAATTAATCAACTGCGCTATCACGTTATGTTTTCGCGTCTGTTTGTGTGTGATCGAGAGAGAGAGAGAGAGAGAGAGAGAGAGAGAGAGAGAGAGAGAGAGAGAGCGACCAGCCAAAGAAATCAAAGGCATCACGGTTAGCCTGAGTCATGTGCCAAAGCTCCTTGAATGTAAGCTTATCAGGCACAGTGCGGGCGTACTTGCTGAACATGTTCTCCAGATTTGCAGGAATGTACCTGCAGCATACATGCAAACCAAGGATCTATCAGGTTTGCAGTAGTTATAGTAAAACCCCGTAAGTACTGATCATCCGGTCTAGTGACACCTAGTCCCCCATTTTATTGGAGGAGACCATGACATCAAATCTCATGAACGAATAATTCTTGAAATAACCTATAACACACGTTTCGAATCGTTCAATCACATCTGAGACACCCTTTCTTTAGGTTTATGGGCAGGTACTCTCACCTTCCCTCTGTGTCATAGGTCCCTGAGTCACTTCCATGTTTTGCCCTGTGTATGTTCTCTATGTGAATTGCGAAGAAAGGCGACGGTATCCATGTCTGCAGAAGAAGCAAATGAATTAATTATCCAAAATAAGCACTTCTAGTGACAGATGAATTTGAAAATGCAGATTGTTGGCTTTTAAAAAGTAAAATATCGCGGGCAAATGTACGTCAGGTAGTGTGCTTGCACTCTTTCGCCCAAGTTTGATTCCCTTAAATTAGACTGGATTAGAACATCGCTGTGTCAATTAAACATCGCCAAACTTACAGGAAGAGTAGCATAACTCATAGCTCCATGGACAAGAACCATGAAGATGAACGAAGCAACCGGATTAAACCCGAGTGCACGAAATCCTGCAAGAACTGATTCAAGTAAGACGATCCATTTCTGTACGTGACGTGCCAATCGAAAACCCTAAAACTTCAAAACTGATTTACCTCTGCATGTTTCGGAAGGGTAGATTATACCATCGTTGTCCTGGTCGAAGAATGCTGCATGCTGTTGAAGCACAGACATGTTGGAATGCTTATGGCCCCACGTGCCATTGATGTTCTCCATGTCAGGCGCAATCATAGCCCTAGGCATGTCTGAAATTGACAAGATTTAATTAAAATAAATAAAAATTAAGCACTTGATTCATGCATTGTTATGCAGTGCATGGTTGATCACGTGAAACAATTGCTATTTCATCTAGAACATTAAAGCAAACTTAAACCCCTAGTTCAGGCTATGGAACAGACGTCCATTATCTATATGAACAACATATTGTAAATATGTCATGATAATATGTCGATATCATTACAACTAGCAAAATGTACGACCATATATATATATATATATATATGTACTTACATGGTTTGGGGAGCTTGGTCTCCAAATCATTGCGGATCTTCCTCTCCACGGTGATCGGAGCCTTCTCAGCCCTTGTCGCCATGGACTCACTGGATGCCTGCTGCTGGCCTTGATCAGCTGCCATCTCTCTCTCTCTCTCTCTCTCTCTCTCTCTCTCTCTCCCCACTTCAGCTATTAATTCTTTGTGCTCGTAATTAATTACTCTAAATGTTAATTAATTAATAGAGAGAACAAAGCATTTTAAAAAGAGAGAATTAAGAAGCTGAAAATTAAGCCCAACAAACTCCAAGTGACTCGCAGTGGTTATCGCAGGACAAGTTTACCACCCGCATGGGTTGGTTTAGGCGTTTGAAGGGAATTTAGGTACTTGCTTTCTACTTTATGTTGTGTTGTCTGCCATATCATATTATACGTGAAGTTGGATATTAATTTACATGTTATAGTACAATAGTAATAGAAATATAAAATACCATCAAGCACTCCTCTAATAAAAATGTAAAAGTAGTCGAAGTGGATGATGATAAATTATTTGTTGTGTTGCATAGCCAAACATTGAAGATCACAAGAATAAAAATTAACAGATTAAGTTACAATGTATAACAAATGGTTGCAATCATAATGCCATTCAAACATTTTGTGATAAAACCTCATATCTATTGTGCTAGTAGGCCGTAGGATGCAAGTTAGAAACAATATTAATGTAATTAGTATTGAACCGTTGATCTATTTCTTTAAATCTCGACAAAACTTCATATCAATGTTTGACTAGTTGTCTAGAAGATCATATTTGAATAAATTGGCTAAAACTTCAATTGTTATCACTTATTCAGCACTATTATTAAAAGAACTTTCTTTGTCAACCAAAGAGGATGAAATTTTTAACATACCCTCATTGCAATGAAGATTTTTTTCATAATTGCTCTCAAATTGAGAAATTTTCAGTGCATTCTGAACACAACAAAGTAGCGTACCACCTCGTGTTTCGGATACACTAAAAAATCTCTCTAATTCCAATTTAAACACAAACACGTACTCCTTAGGTTTTCTCTTTTCTACGTATACAAAACAAGGAATGAGTAAAAAGAGAAATTAGTTTCACAGTGAGTCACATGAACATGAAAAATGATCCATATTATGGGAAAAGAAAGCTCTATTCATTTGGTCAAAGAGCAATAAGAAGTTCACCATAACTATATAAATTTTATTCCTTTTTAACTATAAGCTAGAATTTTATTACAAAAAATTACAAATTATAATATTTTCTTTATGCACATCGTGTTTATAACAAAAACTAATTTCCAAATAAAAATGAAAATTTACGAAGGGAATTGTTATTGGCACTTCAAATTCCTTATTCTACACTCCAAACTTTCTATATTTAGAAGGAAAAATACACTTATGAGGAGTGTATAATGAAATTTTTGGAATGCCAATTACACTTCACATTTCAAATAGACCCAAGAATAAATGGGAACTAACGTCAAAGGACAACGAGGTACCACAGGGTCCCACCTTCCTTGCGTGCATCGTAGCCATGTAGATTGCCACCAACATATTCTTCTCCAAATCACAACAGTTGGTTAGCATCGAATTAATAAAAATTAACCAAAATCCAACGGCCAGAATCTAAGATCAATATCCACTGGTGGCAGCTTATCATTTTTTCCGAGTCAGCACATAAAGAAAGAGGAGAGACGAAACAAGACGATTCTTCTCCTCTCTTTCTTGTGAGGAGAGAGAGAAAGTTGTTCGTGTTGTGAGAGATTAAGTCAAGGAGAGAGAACACAGCCATCTCTGTGTCCACCAGATTCTCTCACAGAAGTGCTTTTTCCTTGTTCCTGCTTTTTTCTGCAGCAGAAGCCTGAAAGCTTTGAGCTTTTGATTCAAAGTTCCAGCCTTTGGGGTTCAGTTCTCAGTTTTTCTCATTCTTGCGTAAGATTGGTCAATCCCCACTTCGAAGTTCCTTTCTTTTTTGAAGAAACGCAATTAAATTTATCGTTGGTATTTTCTGTGTAGTTTGATATCTCCATTTCAGTGTTCATATTCTTTGAAATAATCTGAAATTAGTGTGCTTGTAATCTTCTTGTATTCTCTGCTGGGTTGTCATTAATTTTGATCACATAATTTAATAATTTAATTTGTGATTATTGTATGTGTTTATGATGCTAAGTGGGATTTTAGTGATTGGAATTTGGATTGGATGGTTGGAAATATCAAAAGCTTTCTGGAAAAGGTGATTTCAGCTTGCTTTTCAAACTCTCATGGTGAATCTTAGCTTTGCTTTTAATGGTTTGATATGTAATTAAATAGTAAATATGGGTCTTAAGTTGTTACAGATTCTCAACCTCTGCGGCTTTGACTTTTGTTATACCATTGTTGGCAAGCATCTATCCCCCATCAGTTTGCTACAAGAAATGACTCACTTATGGCGCCTGCATAAGGACGGTTATATTGGCTGGGAGGCGAATTAGCTTTGTCCTGCCTATAATTTTCAGTACACTTCTAATGTAAAACTTTTGCACCGGTGTCCACATTGTCTAGTTCATTTAGTTGCCCAGAATATTCACCGTCATGTACATAGAAATGAGTGTTGTTAATGTGCGTTCTTGTGCTGGAATTTGTGTTGTTAACGTGTTAACCCTCCATCAACAACAAAGCCTTATCCCACTTAGGGGAGTCGGCTTATCCCATCTGGTTACAAAGATGGGAAGCCATAAGTGAGGCATGTCTTGTGGGGTTGGTTTTTCCACTAAGTGGGGTTGGCGTTTTCAAAAAGCTGAGGGGTTGGCTTTTCCACTAAGTGGGGTCGGCGTTTTCAAAAAGCTGAAATTAACTTTTCCAGAAAGCCTTATCCCACAACAACAACCAGATGGGAAGCCTTATCCCATCTGGTTAACAAGATGTACTAATATTCCTAGTATCCTAACACTAGTACTTCAATTAAGGCCTTCTCCTTTCAAGAACTTCGGGTTTTTTGTTCGACAAATTTTCTTTATAACAAGCAGCTTTTGTGATGACTACAAATTTCCTGAAGTCGTCCAAATCTGTATTTTGGTGGATCTTGTTTAGGTGAAAACAAATGTTAGGCTTATCTGATTAATTGAAGACAAAAAAAGAGTGGTTCATACTTAATAGATAAGAAAAGAGAACCAACGTAGGAGCTTTCAGAATGGTTAATGACAATCTATATGTATTCTGGATGCCCCATGATTGTGCACTTAATTCCTTGTTGATGATTATCTTTGACGCTTTGTTGCAAGTTCCTACTTTTTCCTTTCTTCGGATTTTACTTATAATTTCAGTTGGGAATGCTGCTTCACTTTGCTCTGGATTAAACCCTGAAATTCTGAGATGTGCATCATTTTTTCTTCCACTGTTTAATGGTTTTGTCTTTTGTATGAAAATTCCTTGAATGATAAGCTGACCATTTTAGCTTTATAAATGGAAGCATGGATAAAAACTAGATATTTTTACATTATTGCCAGTGGTTAATAGTTATGCGGTTTACTTTTGGTCCTGAAGTTTACTGTTTACGCAAGATAGGTTGTCAGATACGCTGTGGACTTTAACCGGATTCTTTCTTTTTGTCATTTATTTGTACAGATACCAGCAGTAAGGTTCATCGAGTGATGGCGAATGTGAACATTAAGCTGAATGGGCTCAAAGTTCTCCTTATGTGCACATGATGTTCCTAAATGTTGGCAATGAAGAATAAAGTTGAGGGAGTGCCTAAGAAGACACTCGTTGGCACACTTAATATAATGAACATGCACCCTGCTCTATTTACTTAATGATCAGATGCGAACCAGATGAGTGAATTTGGGGCTTCCAAAGCTACGTCTTCATCATTTCCGCGTCTCCATACCCATCTTGTCGACAAGTGTTCCAATTTGCCGGATTCTTTTCAGGTTTCTTCACAAAGGGAGAAGACTATATACTCTATGTTACCGCAGGCTTCTTCCCCTGGGAACTTATTTTCATCATCTTCTAGGCCCAATGACATTCATATTTCTTCAGTTCCCTCTTGTGAACGGCGTCCCCAAAACTCTCCATTCATTTTTAAATCACAAGTTGATGAAAACACTGAAAAGTCATTGTCACTGCCCTGTTCTTCTAATTCTCCCCTGTCAGAAGTGCAACCTACAACGTTGATTGGTTACCCTGAAGAACACAGAGATATTTCTTGGTGCCCAGATTCACTTCAGGAATTTCTTCACTTCTCTGAAAATGTCCCTGACCAGAATGGCCTGGTGGATAGTAGTGCCGGTGTCATAACATCAGAGGAACATGCTGGAAAGACCAATTGGTCTGATTGGGATCCCTTAATTTCGTTTGATGACACTCTGGTCCCAAATTGGGAGCTTCCCGTTGATGTTGATGCAATTGATCCTAAACCAAAGGTGTGTTTTTTATACTTATGAAGTTGCTGTTGGATCATTACAATTACTTTTCCAATAGAGCCAATTTTGATAATTTCATGGCTCTTCAATTCTTTAGTGAAGAATATGTGGTATTATGTTCTGTTTCTCGAGATTGCTTTGAGAGCTTTTTTACTCCAGTCAACATTTTTTGTGACATTAATAAGACATGTATTAGTTATTTTTGTTTGGCTCGTCTTTATGGGATTTCAACAAATTTAACCTTCTGGTTGAACTTTACTTCCAAGTCTTTTACTCTAAGAGTACTTTTGACTTTTTATGACGCAGGAGTTGTCAAAACCATATTCTGATATCCGAGTGCAGCAGCCCCCGGTTCAACAACATCAGCTCCAGGTTCAACAACATCGACCCCAGGTTCATCAGCATCAGCCATTACAATCTCTAGAATTTCGTTCTAGTCCTGAACCGTTGTCCAGCGCACCTCCAACCAAAGCCAGAATGCGTTGGACGCAAGAACTTCATGAAGCCTTTGTGGAAGCGGTCGACCATCTTGGTGGTAGTGAACGTGGGTAACACATGCTTTCGTGTTTTTCTCTGGTCATAATGCTATCTCTTGACATTGACTAATAACTTTGACAAACAGGAGCTACCCCTAAGGGTATCTTAAACCTCATGAAAGTTGAAGGATTGACAATCTATCATGTAAAAAGCCATTTGCAGGTATGTGAATATATTTCTGTCCTCAATTAGTTCCTTATAACAAGCTGTGGTTAGTTTTATTCGTTTTGATGGACCTTTTTTATTTTTTCTAATTTCAGAAATATAGAACAGCAAGATACAAACCGGAGTCATCAGAAGGTAACGATTACCTCCATTGTTCTTTTGCTCTGATAATTCTCTCGAAAACATCTTTGAGACGTTTGGTTTGCCAAATTTTATATATAAATTTTTTTTATTGCTGCTACATGTTTTAACGTTTTTTCAAACTCTTAGAATTGTTAAACTGCTTTCGAACATACATTTCTCTTTCCCCTCAAATCCTATGTCTGTGTTATAGTATGAAATATACATCTTATTTCCTTATAATTCTCTCGTCGGAAAAAAGAAATTCACTATTTGTATTACGTATTTAGACATCCATTCGTAAAAGAATCTAGCATTTGAATTATGAGTGAACGATTCTATTTTATTTTATTTTATTTTTGTGCCAGGATCATGCGAGAAAGTTTCAACTCCAATTGAAGAAACCAATCCCCTAGACATGAAAGGGTATGTGCTTTTCCTTCACCCAAAATATTGAAGAATATGCATCTCGCTCTTTTATTTTCTTTCTCTTTATCTTCTCTAGTTTGACATGCTATGTTATCAGTTTTCATGTATTTTCTTCATCCGAGGAAAAGTTTCATTTATTAAGCAATTGAACTTGAATGTTAAATGGTTAAGAGACGATCTGTTTACTTGTAGGACCAAATTCTATCATATTTGAAAACTAGTAGTTTCCAACTTTCCATTCCGCTCTAGTTACTTGTTAGTTGTTACAGTTTGCCATTTTTCGTTAAATGGTCCTTAGAGGAACTTTCCAACTTTATTTTTTTCAAGAATTGCATTTTTAATCTCATTGTTGGAACTAAAATGGTTCGCACCTATCTATCTATCTATCTATCTATGGTCTACTTGTGAGCTGTTAAGTAGAAATCAAGCTAAAAGTTTTTATGTGTACTTCTTGCAGGAGCATGGGTATTACAGAAGCTTTGCGGTTGCAGGTGGAACTCCAGAAGCGGCTTCATGAACAACTTGAGGTATGCAGTTGGAAGACTTAGATTGTCTTTTGTAGTTTTTGTTTGGAATGTGCAACAACTATTTGCTTGTCGGTAACTGGGTAGGGTACTCAAGTGACTCTACCACTTTTGAGATGTGGACGCAGAAACATAGACGCATGGGGCGCGGGGGAGAAATGCGAGTTGATATTGGTTTTTCACATGTTCTGATGTTATGGTTAATGTTTGCAGAACCAAAGAAAGCTGCAGTTGCAAATTGAAGAACAAGGGAAGTGCCTTGAGAAGATGTTTGAGCAACAGAGAAAATTTGAGGACAACAGGGTCAAGTCTGGATCATCCACCGTGGATGACCACTCTACTCCGCTATCAAACATCGCATGTTCTTCCCGTGGAGACGATAAACCAGAAACCTCCAAACATCACCCTGATAAAACAGCGATCAGCACACCCTTAGAAAATGGTTCACAAGATGCAAGTAGCAAGGCACAAGAACATGAATGTCCCGAGGATCCAGATGGTGTCGAGTCTGGTGCCCTGCGCACAAAACGAGCCAGGAATGGATCGAATAAACAGAATTCTCAGGAGTTGTCTCGACCGACCCAGTAAACTTGGATAAGGAGCATGTGTGAGTATATTATTGTAGGACAAACCAAGCTGATCGAAATCGGAGTCTGAAGGTCTCTTTATGCTGTTATGTAAACCTGGACAAACTTGTTTTGCTGTGTCCAAAAGTGAAGGCTCTAGTTTTGCAGCGTCCAAAAAGAATCATGAGTTTACTTTTTATGCTTATGACTCTTAGATTTAATATTGTTCAAACTTAATCATGTTTTTCTTTTCTTAACTATGATTATCGGCATCGTGTGTGTGCGGAGTAACGATCGCCTAGGCCCTTGAGTCTTGATGAAATTGTGTTCACTCACTAGTCAATCTTAATTTTACCATTTGATCTTAATGCAAATAGTTTAGACCAGTCTCTTTACTTATATGTCTCAGTAACATGAAATGTCACATATCACATAACCAAAGTAGTTCAAAAGAATAACCACATCAGAAGAATTAACGAATCTCTTTTTTTTTTTCGGACAAATTAACGAATCTCCTAACTTGGATGAAAAATAAAATAAAGTAAATACGTATAAACAGGGCATGCGATAAAGTGAGACACTAAAGACAGCATAATAATTGCCATTCACCACCATAAATAAGTTAGAGAAGTGTAGATTCTTGTCTCCAAATCAACTTCACCCAATTTTATGAGACATTTTTCAGTGCGTGGGAATACAATCTAGTATACTAAGTGTTATAATACAATTAGGAAACTTTTCCATCAAGTTTTCCATCAATTATATTATTGTACTTAATATACTGGTCCTGTATTCCCGACATGCTGAAAAATCTCTCCAATTTTAGGTAACCTTCATCCACTTGATTGCTTGGTCCAAGCCCGACTTTCAAAATTCCGAAAATATTAGTCAGCCTCACCCTAATCTTCATGCCAAAAGTATGTGATTATAAAATTTGATAATAAATTCAGTTATATAAACTCTCATGCAAAAAGTATATTTTGCTAGGGATGATGATCTTCTCCGGATTCTCTTTGGGTTCTCATTGTGAGGATCTTAGGGATCAATTCATCTTAGCCGTTCATTGCATATCGTGTAACCAGTTTTCGTTATGTACTAGTTGTGTTCAATTTTAAATAAAAATTCAAAATGATTTTTGAGCGTATGATGATTCATGAACGGATATGATGAGCTGATTCTTAGGATCCTCACAAAGAAGATCCGGATAGAATCATGTTCCTCTTGTTAGAACACAATTAGTATGACACATCACGAGACCTCAATTGAATTTATTATCAATTTGCATGAATTTAGAATTTAAATGCGTCTCATTTTTTCTTACTTCTGCGATGATTTATTAAAACTAAAACCTCTCAAGTAGTTTTTGTTTTCTTTGTTTTTCTTGAATCAAGATGAAAAAGTTGTAGTTCTATTATAAAACTAAATTATATGAGAAGTAGGTCAACCATTTATCATAAGTTCATGTCAGGTCCCTTCTACCATCAATGTATGATTTATTCTCAACACGGGTGCTCAAGTATAATGATTTTCAAGTCAACATGTTGGGTTTCACATGTAGGATAATCTGCTCTGAAACCATGGAAAAAAGTTGAGATTCCACTATCAAACCAATTGTCAATATGAAAAAGTTCAAGGTCTATATATGATTGAAAAACATTAAGATGTTGGAGGAAACTATTTAATTGATACCAAACGGGGGATTTCTGGGTCGACGTTATAGTAGAAAGCAAGGTGCGTATGTTGAAAAGTAGAGGTTGGTGGTCTGTGTATATGTCATTTTCACGGTAATTCTGAATGTTGATTTTGATGTCATGAATGCCCTCGTTGGAGGCCACTTCCAAACTAAAGGTGCAGTCAAGTTCTTGGATATGAAATCTCTTGTACACATTTTGAAAAAAGTTGGGGTTCCACTATAAAACTTGGCAATATGAGAAGTAACTCAACCTCTTATACAAACACACAATCCAAACACAGAAAATCTCCACATACCCTTCTCCCACTCCTCTTCCCCCTTCTCTCTCCTCCCTCCCTCTGCCCCCTTTCTCTCTCCTCTGCGATCCCGATCGGCCCAAATATTTGGAAACCCTAATTTCTGAACTTGCACATTGTTCGAAACCCTTTTCGCTCAAAAATTTTGATCACTCTATTTTATTATTCTGATTTTGCCTTTGTTATCCCGTCGTTGATCAAAAACTCGGCAATTGATTTTATTATGGAACCTCAACTTCCTTCACCCTTTAGACTACAAAGTAAGTAAAGAGATAAGAAGGGATAAATAAGAAAGGCACGGAAAATTATTACTTTTGCCAAACTTTATATATAAAAATGTATTTTTCCTTCATAATATAGAAAGTTTGGAGTGTAGAATGAGATTTTTGAAGTGCTAATAACAATTCCCTTTATTAAAACTAATTAGTAATATGTGATTTATTCGCAACACGGTTGCTCATGTATAACGACACAAACGGAGTGACATGGAGCACGTGTAGTCATTGGGCTTTACATGTGAAATAACCTGTTCTGAATCCATGAAAAAAGTTGAGGTTGCACTATAAAACCAATTGTCAATATGAAAGAGTTCAAGACCTATATATGATTGAAAAACATTAAGATAGTGGAGGAAACTATTTAATTGATACCAAACGGGGATTTGCGGGAAACAAGGTGTGTATGTTTAAAAGTAGAGGATGGTGGCTAGCGGATATATCATTTTCACGGTAATTCTAAATGTTGATTTTTATGCCATGAACGCTCTCGTCGGAGGCCACTTCCAAACTAAAGGTGTAGTCAAGTTCTTGGACATGAAATCTCCTGTAAACCCTTAGACTACGAAGTAAGTATAGAGAGAAGAAAGGATAATTAAGGAACACACTAAACATTATTGCTTTTGGGAGGATAGTTGAGTAACCTGAAGAGTGTTCTATCAGCCAACAAGGGGCTCAGAAATCATAAAAATCCACTGAAAACTCTAGGCAAATTATCTTTTACGCATCTAGGAAATGTTCATAATGAATAGACGAATAACTAATGAGAAAACTAGATTTTAATCCTTAAATAAAATAAATTTAAAAAAAATGTCTTATATAAGATTAAAAATTGATTTTAATTCCTAAATTCTATTTAATGTCAACATATGTATTCAATATCTCTCTTTTTATTTATAATTTTACGGTGTTCATAAATTAAATTTTATGAAAATATAATAATTTTTAATTCTCATTATAGTAAGTATCTTATATAAGAAAATATTTTTGTAGAGATTTTTTGGAACACTTATGTTTATGCATTTTTTTTATGTGCCTCTAATTTATTATAATATATTTAGGTAAGAACATTTCAGTATACTAGTTAGTATAATTTATTTAGGTACTGATATTTCGGTACACTAGTTTAGTATCATATATTTAGGTATGGAATTTTCGATACACTTATGTTTTTGCATATTTTCTTATATGTGCCACTTATTCACTGCAATATATTTAGGTAAGGACATTTTGGTACACTAATTTAGTAAAATATATTATAATACGTTTAGGTACACTAATTAGAGGAAGTGAAACAAAATTAATGAATTAAAATGTGTAAAGTAATTTTAAAGTTTAATGTAATGACATTAAATAAGATATCTATTAAATATTTAAAACAAAAATATAATATAAATTTGAATTAAGTACACATTAAAGGACTAAAATCAATATTCAATCTAACATCAAATTTTTATTAAATTTTAATCTTCTTCGAGAATTTAAGTTCAAAAACCCCATAACTAATATATACAAGGTCGAATTAGTTGGTAAACATTAGTTCATGGGAAGAGCTTTGTATCCCGAAATCATAAAACACAAAGTTTGATTACTCCATCCATAAATTTCTAATGTAGCTTTTGTCATGCACTTATAAGAAGTAAAAATAAACAAAAATAAAAAGAAAGTAGACCTTTTTTCTTTCCAAAATGTTAAAATAGAAAGTTTGGTTATTAATGATGTCAATTCACCCTGATGAGGGTTTCCACCTATTCCACTCTTCCCTAACAAACAAACTATTTAACTCATTAACGTCATTGATCTACTAAAAAATATTTGATTATTAATTTTTGTAAAAAAAAATTGATTAATTAATTTTTGTAAAAAAAAATTGATTAATTAATTTTTGTAAAAAAAAATTGATTAATTAATTAATTCCAATCCTTTTTTACATTTTATTTTGCTAGCCTTGATTACAAACAATATTAGTACTCTAAGTGACTAATTAATCATCTTCACTTGTCAATGAGAGATTTTAGGTTCGATTCTCGTAAAATGTGAGTTTGAACCACATTATTGCTAGCTTATTGTAAGGATAATTCCCCCCACTCTCTTAGTGCAGGAGTGACTAATTAAAAACACGGGGAGGATTTGAATATAGAACATAATAAAAAATTATTATACTTGATGTACCGATCTGTGTTCCAATATTTTTTTTTTGTTAGAATGAGTGGTAAAAGGAGGGAGGAAAAATCTCCTGCACACTTTAGTTTTGCACATAGGTTGTGCAACTTTTTCCCAAAGAGAGAGAGAGAGAGAGAGAGAGAGAGAAAAAGACAAATTGATAATTGAATGGCGTTGGCATGCTTTTAGTGAAAGTTTGAACTTCGACTTCGACCAAAAAACAAGTTCGTACTTCGAACTGTCAAAATTCCAGGGGGAAAGCGAAGTGTTTATACTCAGTTCCTCGAAAAAGTTTCGAGTGGGAACTTCCTCTGCAGCAAAAGAAGATGTTGTTTCAGGTGGGAGGCCAAGGATACCTCAAAACCTTTTCTCCCACTTATCATTTTTATTGTTTTTGTTGTTTTCTTTTTCTCATAATTTAATTGGATTGAATTATACTTATAGATGATGGAATGGTGGTACCAATCTGCTGACGAGAGAATGTCAGCTCCAACCATATACCCTCCACCTCCTCCATCTCCACCTCCACCTCCACCTCCACCTCCGCAGGTAAAGTGCGGAGTATTGTCAGATTTAATTGTGTTCTTAGACTTTAATGAGACTTCCAGTCGATCAAAGTCTTGGTATGCTGCTTAATTAATAAAGTCTAATCTATCATTATGAACAGGTTGCCAAAGAGGGGATTCCACTGCCACCTGATAGAGCTCTTTGCCCTCTCTGCTCACAAAAGCGTGCAAATCCATCGGTAATTACAGTTTCTGGGTTTGTCTTCTGCTATGCCTGCGTCTTCAAGTATGTTTCTCAGGTGAGGCCTCCAGGTGCTGTTAGCTTTATGAGTAGATAAACACACACACACACCCCTCATATCCGTTGGCAAGTCTGTGAGGAAGCCCTTTGTACGCCACTTCCCGTGGTTCTCACTTTAAAACCCACTGCTGAGCATATAGGGTGATCTCAGCGTCTTGCACTATCGAGTACATCAACATGTCTGCATATATCCCCAGCAGGGGAAGAAAAAACTGTATTGTGAATACATTAATCTTATGTAACTGATTGGTCTTTTTGTGTTTCTTTTTTGACACAGTATAAGCGATGCCCGATCACATTGATTCGTACTACTGTCGACCAGATAAGGAGGCTCTTTCACGACGTGTAGAAAACCCAGTTGGATACATCAAAGGAGAAATAATTCATTAGTTGAGATGCTGGGATGCTAGGGTAGCGATGACTGGCAAAACAAATAAATATTGTATCGTGGGGAAACCGTAGTAGTCTGGGAAATGAAAGGAAGAATGTTGTATCTTGATTATTTGTTGTATTACTGTATCCTACACCCTTTGCCAAGAAAGAAGAATTCCTCTTTTTTCGGTTTTTCGCCATTACCGAGTTAATTTCTGTCTGTTTATCAGTTGAAATTTGCAGTGTGTAATTCGTTAAACACTAAAGGTAAGATAATGCAAGAAAAATTTATGTGAAGAAAAATAGCAGAATTACATAAAATCTGGCAGACAACCTTCAAAATTACATGAATATATCACATTTCCAAAGCTCTCTCCAATTTTGCCTTAAATGGAGTGGACTTCCATTCCACTTTCTGATCCTGCACAATCAAACCGGATTTCATCAAGGTTCGAATCCCCTTCCCGTAATTTAGAATAGTTTAGAAAATTATCGATTGAATGAACGGAAATATCAGTTCGAACAAATCTCTTACCGGTCTGTTTTTCCCTGTTGATTTCGGCCTTCCTCTGCAAGAAGAGCCTGAGTCCGAATCCATGGCCTGTCCGGTACGACTCCAGTAGCTCCCAACAGTACCAATGATCGGCATTTCCTCGGGACTCGGGCTTGGTGACCCTTTTTTTGGAGTAGAAGAAGCCGACAACTGCTTAAGCTCTTCAGTTGTCCAAGCTCCCAGAATTGGCCTATTTTCACGGCTTCCGGGTGAATTAAACTTGTTCCCCACAGAATTCTTACTACTTGCATTTGACTCTGGTGTGGTCTCAGACTCAACCAGCCAGCTCGAAAGGCTCGTGTCTACGCAAGAAGATGACTTTGTCCTCGGCCTTTCGCAGAGTTTTGATTGCTTCAAAGAAGGCTCCGGACTAAAGTGTAATTTCAAATCCGGCTCCTCCACTTCCGTGTGTATGTTCTCCTTCTCTTGGTGCTGCCGCTGCTTTGAAGCTTCTGTTGGAGTTGACTTTCCATTGACCTCCTCCTTCCATTGAGCAAGATTTTCAATGGGGTTCGATACTGCCTGAAAGTGAGAACTCTGTCTCCCGTAATCTCTTCTGCCATTTTGCTGCTTTGGCATTGGACTATTCACCTCCTTCTCATCTGTTCCAGCATCATCACAAACTTGTTGTTTTCGAGAATCAATCGATAGCGAAAATAAGGACTCGGAAGAATCTTCCTCAACAAAGGTTTGCTTACTGCTCTCAAACTCATCAGCATTAGCACAATCATCATCTTCATCCTCACTGTTTTCGCAATTTTTGTATCGATGATTCAATGGATGAGTTGATGGTGATACCATACTTGATACAACCGAATTCGGTTTGATCCCTTTTCGCGCTTCCTCTTCATTCTCCTTCGCATCACAAATTTCCACCAATACATTGGAGACTTCTTCCTTGGTGGGAGTTTCTTCATCATTTGCCTCGACATTCAAATCAAATGTGACTTTCTTTTTGTCACCATTCTTTGATTGTTCTTCAATCTCCTCTCTAAATACACATTAATGAACAACATAAATTATAAACAAAATAAAACCGTAAATCCAATGGAGAAGATTCTCTGGAAAACCAAACAAAATCAAGATCCAAGCTTTGACAATGGATTTCTTACACTGATACTTTGCTGGGTTTAATGGCTTCTATAAATTCTTCTAGCTTTGTGGGTTCAGCTTCAGCAGGTTGGATTTGAACAGCTTGTTCAGCAACTTCAATGCTCTGTGGAAAATTAATCTCAGATGGGTAAAGATCTAAAGTAACAAAATGGAAATGGCAGTAAAAATCACAGGAAAGAAGAAACTTTGTGGGCTTACTTGGTGTTTAAAGGGGTTTACAGTGACTGATTTTTTGAGCTTTCGGCGCTTACAAGTAGAGAAGCACTTTGGAAAGCACCCCATGAATGATTGTCGACTTTTACAGCTGACTTCTTTCGGATGCCTTTTTCTTCGGAAAGAGAGAGAGAGAGAGAGAGAGAGGACTGAGGATGCAACGGTCAAGAGCGTTTGAAGACGAAGAATCCGAAAGCTTGAAAATATGACCGTTGAGATTTTGTCTTTGGGCTTCTTTCTTAAGGAAAGTTGGTTTGGGTGGGCTGGGAAGGAGAGAGAGAATTTACTAAAATGACCGTGACCCGGCCCAAGACATTGGTAAATCGAAAAGTATTGTAGCTATCTAGAGTTAAGTATACTTAGGATTAGTAATTAGGCTATGCTATATAATGGACATCCATAATAATTCGATATAAAATCCGTCGTTTATGAAAATTGAATTTAAATTTTATTTATTTACAAATAGAGATGAATACGGTCAAATCGTAATGCTAACTAGACTTGGACCATTTAAAAAAAAGTAGATTTGAAAATTGGTTTGGATGGTGACAATAAGTTAATTATTTATTGTAGGTGGCTCTCTAACACATTGATGGATAGGAATATTGTCCTTATACCATGGCGTGGGTTCAAACCTCATCGGTTCTTAAATCTAACAAATCTATCATTTGTCAGGAAAAAAAAAAAACTATTTATTATTTTTTAACATAAAAAGCAAAGATTGAGGTCCAATCACTATTAAATCCTCTCCAAAAATAGGAACAAAACATAGATAATTTCCTGGTTAAAAATTTTGAGAGAAATCGTGCCATCAGATTGTAAGCAAAAGTGGGCTAAAATGCCTTGTGCTTTTTCGGATCCCATTAAGGAATAGCCCTACCTTTCGAATATGAAAAATCTAACCTTTTTTTTTTTTAGTACATCGATATTTTTACACTAAGAAGAAGGGAAGTTTGGTTAAGTCACACAATGGGTAACCTAATTTGGTATCGAATTCGCCATCCACGAGATTCGAACCAAAGACCTCTCACTTCCAAGTGAAGAGGAATACCAACAGACCGTAATATTGAATGACAAGTCTAACTTTCTTTTTAAATCGAACAATTATCTTAGTGGACCCAAATAAGACATCAAAATTGAACCTTACAAAGCATTACCAAACAAAATCACAAAATAAAGTTTAAAAACATGTATCGCTGTGACAAGTGACAAGTGACAAGGAAATGAGAGTAGAAATATCCCTAACATAACACCGTGACCAATAAAATTCTTATTTTCCGAAAACAGATATTCACAAAATGTTGTTGTCTTAAATCTTTCTCTCCAATAATTTCATGAAATGATCCCTTCACAACAAACGCACTCAACTCTATGATTAATTCGTTGAATAAATTGAAACCCGTCTAGCATTTCTTAATCTATTTCTTTAATCTACATTTAGCACACAACGACATGTATTGTCTTTCACAAATGAAATTAAATTCTAACAAATAAATAATAAAATACAAGAGAAAAGGACGTAAAAGAATTTTCAGCTATATATTATCAACTAGAAGGTGATAATTATGTGCATAGATAACTTAAAAGCTTTGTCACTACTTACATACGGTTAATTTAGTGATATTTTTCTATATTATAGATCTGGAAAAGATGTAAAATACGCCAATTAAGACTATAAGAAATTAAGTTATTCTCTAAAGAGATGTCATATATGATGTGATAGCTGAGCTATTTGACTCATTGTTTTCTAACTTTTTTTTTTTGGAGCAAACAAAAATGGAGTCAAATGTTTTTAATTCAACTTTTTAATGCATAAGTCTCATGGACAACCGATAGGATGAAAACTTACATCAATTTTAGTTATTTTTAATAGTAGTCTAAGCATTGGGCCTGATATTATGGTTTTCAATTTAAAGATGTGGTTACAGGCACAAACTGCAGTTCGAAAAGGCAAATCAGAACAGCAAAAAAGGTTGATTCGCCGAGAAGTGAAGAAATGATCAATGACGAGATGGTCTCCTTACTTTATTCAGCTTGGAGTGCTTTACTAAGTGAATCAGATTCCGAAGAAAGTGACATCTTGCAGAGATTTGGAGTAAACAGAACCGGCGTGCCAAATGCTCCTCACTTGGAAAACTGCAAGTTGAAAACACAAGAAAACGAGCGCCTTGATAAGCATGCGGAGAACGAGAAATATCCTCCTTGGACGAGTTGGAAGGGATTGTTGGACAGGTACCCTGCAGCTGCAACTAATGAGCAGTCGAGATACTTTAGGCATCAAGATATATCCGAAGGTGGTTACGCTCCCTGTGTACGCAATGTTGCATACGTACATATATGCATTTAATCGTTTGTTAGTTCGTGAGGTAAGAAGATATTGTGTTTTGCAATTGTTCACTGATAAGCAAGCTTCGGCAGATTACAGGGTCCGATGAAGAAAACTATCCCTTGACGCGGACAGTGCAACGAGACATATGGATGCATCAGCATCCTTTGAACTGCAGCGATCCTAGCGTAAAATTTCTTGTTGCTGACTGGGAAAGATTACCAGGATTTGGCATTGGAGCGCAGATCACGGGAATGTGTGGGCTCTTAGCCGTTGCAATCAACGAAAGCAGGGTCCTCGTAACCAACTACTACAATCGAGCTGACCATGATGGTTGTAAAGGTGAATATCACGACATCTCATCTCAATGTTGTTGACCATTTTCATACTTTATAACTTTGTATACAGGAGTTCGAAACATGAAAGTAGACTTTTGTTCTTAGAACCAAGTGTGGATGATAAGTTCCATGTGTTACAGGTTCGTCCGCTCCAGTTGGTCTTGCTACTTCTTTCCAGAAACATCTCTACAACGTCGAAATTGTGCTTTTGAGCTTATGGGAAGTGAAGAAGCCTGGAAAAAAGGCACCGTTACAACGAAAGAAAGTTATAATACAAAGCAAATATGGTATGGACCTACACCCAAGTAATTATTTGCATCTCTAGCCATTCGTTCAGTTCTTCTGCTAGTAACTAGCAGCATATGTTTTTCTGTTCTTCTCATGTCGCTTGTTAAATATTTAATGCAGAACATGGGGCGATCCGTGGAGTCATTTGCAACCAACGACAGAAATAAATGGGAGTTTGGTTGCTTATCATCGGAAAATGAATCTGAGATGGTGGAGAGCACAGGTAGTCTATATAGATCTTCTGTAAATGTATTAATATAGTTGCTTCCAACTTCTACGCTATATTCGTGAAAGAAAAGAAAGTTTGATCGTAAATTGTTAACGTTATGCCAGGCAGTACGATCCTTGATGAGATTTCAAACCGAGTACACATGCAGCTTATTGAACGTTGCACGCCATACTGCATTTGGAAAGGAAGCTGCCCATATGGTCGTCAGAAGTTTTGACGGAAAATGGCCTGTGGTTTGTTACTTTTATCCCTTTTGCAACTCAACGGCTTCTGATTATGCAAATCGAATCTTCTCAAACGATAATGCTTTATAACGTGTTTTGTTGCAGGATGTTACAATCCACAAAAGGTCTGATATCGAAGAATTTGTTTGGCCGAGTCACAAGCCGCGGATGCCTAGGTCGCTACTCAGCATGCACGTAAGAATGGGAGACAAAGCGTGCGAAATGACGGTAGTGGAATTTGAATAGTACATGGTTCTTGCTGGCCGCATAAGAAAGCGCTTCCCGCAGCTTAAGAGCGATTGGCTCTCCACTGAAATGCAGGTTTAGTTTTCTGGCATTAACATCATATCTCCGAATAGATTCAGAAGCGAAGGATCGTGTTTAAACCTAACGTTAGCAATCTTCCAGGAAATCATCGACAAATCGCAAAGTTACAGTCACTGGGAGTTTTACTACACAAACGTGACACGTCAAGTTGGGAACTCCTCGATGGCCGCTAACGAAACGAGTCTTGGAAGGGAGACGAGCACGAATTATCCAATTGTTAACTTCTTGATGGCAAGTGAAGCTGACTTTTTCATTGGAGCATTGGGTTCAAGTTGGTGCTACCTTATAGACGGAATGAGAAACACCGGAGGGAAAGTTATGGCCGGATATTTGAGCGTCAAGGACCGATTCTGGTAGAAAATTCGTGTAAACTACCAGCAATGCAAATAGATGTGTAAATCATTAGCTCAACAATTGTGTTGTCTGTATATCAAAATGTATTGAACAGTATGCATCACTAATTCTATCTGTTAGCTTGTAAGTCCTGTAAAAATATCAACTTCTAACATGCAACGTTGTTCGTTTGTGTTTGTACCAGGGAACAATGTACCATGTGAAAAGGTGTGCATATACAGACACATACCGAAGAAAAGACCGCCTCAAAAACCACCAGCCACCAATAGCCGGCGGCCCCTCCTATGACTAGACCCCCCTCTCCGGTCTTATCAATTCGTGTATCTTCCGAAGAGATGTATATACTTTCATACATAATTTAGCACAAACCATACAGAACTGAAACAGATGATGGTCTTGGCCACAATGACAAGCACAAGAAAATACCAACCACAGAAAGAAAAAAAAACTTGAAAATCAATAAAAAAACAACTTAGATACAAAGATTGATGTGAACTCGAAATTAGAACAAGAGATACCATCAGAAAAAGGAAAGCCGGTTCCTCTCTGATTTCACAGCACATAGCAATACAACGATTGAAGAAGATACATGTATTCTTCTTCTAAATCAACAATTAAGAGCCTAAAACGTATCAGGTAAGACTTTCGGGATAGAATCCAAAGTGAAGAATAAAAGTCAGGAGCACACAAGAATGGGCTTTACCTCATTTTTATCCCACGAAATCCCTCTTAGAGGTAGAGTAGCAGTAATTTATGCAAAACTATTCTTCAACATTCTCGCTTGCCTGATGTCCTGCATCACCGGGCTTGGCTGTTGCATGTTTCCTGTGTTTCTTGCTCTTGGCCTTCTTGGCTTTCATGCGGCGTTTTTTCTCATTGGCATCAACCCAGGTATAGTCCGATGGTACGAGGAAAGGGTCAATCTCATCCTTATAACGGTGGCTATCACTGTCACTTGATTGCCCACCACGACTTCCTCTCACCCACGACATCCATGACGAGGATCCTTCTGAGTCCTTTGACTTTGAATCCTGAAAATGTGCAGGACTGGAGAGAGG